CTCAAGGGCATTATTATCTTGATCGACCCCCCCCCCCCAATCTTTCAATAAATCCCAGCAAGCAGCAGACAGAAAACACTTGGGGGAAAAACGGGCAAATGATCTCTCGCTTTCAAGAATATCATCTGGATTATAAAGTCAGCTGTTTTATTTACAGGACATAAGCTACAAGCAGTCACAGATTTATCCAGAAAAGCCTCAAACAGGTTTTGCCGTTGGTCTGAGCTGAAATTAACATTTTGGCCAAGGGCTTGGTCAAATTTTCCCCAAATACCTACAACTAATCTTTTTCTACAGGTTTTTAAAATACCGGTCCCCCTCTGTATGCACTTTTTTGTCCTCATTTTTATTCTAGATTTCCAAAACTCTTCACAGTGGTGAAAGGACAGCCAACTTTCCTACAGCCAACATAGCAATACTGCCCTCTTGAGTTAATTGCAGTGTAAAAACAGCCATGTTTGAATAGGGCACTCTGATTCCAATCATTACGGTATTCAGCTGGAAGTCATACCTGAAGCACTGGTCATAACTTGCTTTTAATCTTTATATTTAAAAAAAAAGATTTGTTTTTTGTCACATGAAAATTATCCTGTGTCTCCAAGTCAGAGAAATGGAGAAGGACAAATATTGCAGCATGCTAAGACACGGTGGCTCAGTGGCTAAAATGCTGAGCTTGTTGATCAGAAAGGTCGGCAGTTTGGAGGTTCAAATCCCTAGTGCCGTGTAACGGAGTGAGCTCCCATTACTTGTCCCAGCCAACCTAGTAATTCGAAAGCATATAAAAATGCAAGTAGAAAAATAGAGACCACTTTGATGGGAAGGCGTTCTGTGTGCCTTTGGTGTTTATTCATGCTGGCCACATGACCACAGAGCCGGAAACGACTAGCATGTATGTGCAAGGGGAACCTTTACCTTTTGAGAGAACTTCCATGTAAAGTACCCAGACTATCTTCTAGTATAAAAATAGCAATAACACTTAGGCTTATATACTGCTTCACAATGCTTTTACAGCCCTCTCTAAGCAGTTGACAGAGTCAGCATATTGCCCCCAACAAACTGAGTCATTTTACCGACCTTGGAAGGATGGAAGGCCGAGACAAAAATGATCCCTTCATATGCACTTGGAGGTTGGTTTCCAACCAAAACATTAAGCTAAGAGAATGATGTTGGTCTATAAAAATAAAGTCACACAATCAGAATACAAAAGGTTTGGAACTTGGAAGCAACTTGAATTCATTAGAAATCTGCACCTACAGCATTCCCAACAAATGGCCATCCAGTTTAAATAATATCCTCCAGCGAAAGATATTATTTAGAGTCTGCCAGCTTCCATAGGACTGACTCTCTTGTAGTGCTTCTATCATTAGGAATTTTTTCCTCATGACTTACCCCCAAAACAATTTTTACTACTCAGCCCTACATTTGGCATGACAACCTTCCTGTCCGCCTACACTCTTTCCCAGTTAAACATACTCATCCAACCTTCTTTCATAGCTTATTCTTTCCAGGTCCCTTCACCAGATTGCTGTCCTCCAACATGCTCCAATGTGTTAGCATTCTCCCTCAAATACAGGTCCTAAAGAGGATCCAGTGTTCTAGGTGTCCTAACTAATGCAGAACAGAGTAGAACAATGACTTCTCGACTCGGTTTCTGTTGATGCAGCCTAGGATTGCTTTTTGCAAAAAATTTTGGAGTTGTATCGCACTCTAGCTTTTGATCCACAAGGATACCACTTCCTCGGCTTCATCTCAACCCTACCCACCCACCCACCACCACCGTAGCATTCAATTTATGGCTATCTAGATGAAGGTTCCAAACACATTTTTCCCACTTCCTGTAAGATACAGCTCATCTATTGCCAGAATCTCAGAAGAATCTCTCACATATAAAATAATCCAAAACTTTAGAATGGCACCTACTGTATGGCCAGCTGTCTATTTTTAATATTGTTCTCTCTATTCCCAAGTTGACGTTATGGAATAAAGAAAACATCACTTGGGCTTCCAGGCCCTTCAGCCTCCTGCCCAGCACTTCATAAACCTTTCATATATGTTGCCACATGGATCAGGAGAAATAAATAATGGGCAATGGGGACAAAGGATGTGCCCCAATGTAAGATGAAATCAAGAGAAATTAATTGAATTTTCCATGGCACAGCATAACATGGCATCTGGAATTGTAGACAGAATTTCATGTTGAATTGTATACAAATGATAAACGTATAATTGCCAAAATATATAAACTCTTGCTGAAATTTAAAATGGGGGATGAACAAGTGAAAGAGTGAATGATAAAATGGGGTAAGCATTTTGGTCCTAACTTATTGTCGGAACAGCAGGAGAACATGTGGTTGAAAGGATTGAAATTCACATTATTTTAATCCACAAGGTAATTTTTACAAAATACATTACAAAATATCATATGCTGTTGGTATACGACTGCAGAAAAATTATCTAGAATGTAGCTCAAAATTGAAAACATGGACAACATTGAGGATTATTTTATCATCTTTGGAGAACTTGTAAAAAAGCCAGAATATTTTGGGTTCTATTACATTTATTGATTACAAACACTTTTAAAGGCAAAGATTTAACTAAAACCATAATTTTGTTTTGTTGGGATTAATGAAGAGACAAGTAGAAAAAACCTATGGAAGATTATTTTTATATATGATCATTGTTGCAAGACAACTATATATATGCAAATAATGGAGATTCTGAAACACACAGAATGAAGAAATAGTTTGTGATGTAAGTAGAGGGATGGCAAAATTGTTTACTTAGAACAAGATGATTTATTATATGTCTCTGGAAACCCTTACGGGCTTTTTGCTGAAAAAAGGAAATCAACTGATTATATATGGATTTGATGTTTAGAAAGAAAACCCTGATGTGACAATAAAATACTTATAACTGTTAATGAAGATTGGAAACCGCTTATTATTTTTCTTCTTCTTTTAATCTATTTCCTTTTCACTTTGTTTCTATCTCCTGCCTTTAACTTAAAATTTGTATTATTTTTACTCTGTGGAAAAATTATACAGGTAGTACCCGACTTATGACCACAATTGGGCCCACAATTACTGTTGCAAAGCAAGGCAGCTGTTCAGTGAGTTTTGCCCCATTTTATGACTTTTCTTGACAGTTGTTAAATGAATCACTGCAGTTAAGTTAGTAACATGGATTTTAGATGAATCTGGCTTCCCTACTGACTTTGCTTGTCAGAAGTTAGCAAACGGTGATCGCATACATGCCATCTGCCAAGCATCTGGATTTTGGTCACGTATCCACAGGGATGCCGCAATGGTTGTGTGAAAAACGGTCATCTCACTTTTTTCAATGCCATTGTAACTTCGAATGGTCATTAAATGAGTTGTTATAAGTCAAGGACCACCTACCTATATAGCGAGTAGGTCTCCCAGAAAATAGGATACTTGGCAGACTATTTTGTCAACAAATTGTTGCTTCTGTGCCTCGAAGTAGGAGGTCTCCAATCACTTATTGCCTCACTTCCTCCTCTTGGGGATGGGGGAAGAAAGCTTTCCCCTTTCCAGAGTGTGTGGAGTCCTCTTCCTCACTTTTGTAGCAACTGCTCTTCAATCAGGGCTCCATCTGAATCTCAATTCTAATTCAAATTAATGTTATGGACTCAACCAGCAATGGATAATAATCAAATCAGCAACACACACAAAAAAAAGGAATGGCTTTAAAAAGAAAATATTTTAATAGAGATTGGAAAACATAATCCGAAAAAGAGCAGAGGTGAGTGAGGGCTTCCAAAAATAAAAATTGGTACATTTAGAAGAAAATCCACACCCAAATAGAGTTATGGGGCCAGTTTGGTGTAATGATGAAGGCATCAGACTAGAAACCAGGAATTCATGATTTCTAGTTTCCAGTCCCATCTTAGGCACAAAGCTTTGCCAATAGAAGAGAATAAACATGGCTCAGAATTGAACTGTGGAGTCCTTGGTGCGCTACGAGCTTGGTTGTTTGCTTACAAACATTTCATCACCCAGCTAGGTAACACCATCAATGCTGGTTAGCGTGCGATTAGCTTCCTGTATATATGCGGTATTTACTCTGCCAGCATTGGAGGGGAAATGGCTTTCTCTTTGGTAGTTCTCAATTAGGGTATTGTTTTCCACTTAACAATTCTGCATGATTAACAATCAAACAGAAAACAAAGAAGCAGAATGAGTAACAATCAAGCAGAAAACAAATCATATGGGTTTATTTATATTCATATTGTTTCCTTTTATCAAATACACACAACTTGATTGCTGACCTAAGATATACCAGTAAAAACACTTCTAAAGGGATGTATTTTGACCACATTCCTTTGTTATATTTTTCTTACACTGTATAAATTTCTTACCCATGAAATTCTTTCGCTTTTGTAATTGTATTCGTAAGATAATGTTGCTTCAGTATCTCATTTATTTTCAACGATGACTCTGAGCCTCATGTGGATCCTAAAAGTATCCTTACAAAATTAAGGTAGAGGATACTGCAGTTCAGGCACTGTATCTAAATGTTTAAGAACACGATTAGATGCTTAATACCTGGCTGTCAGTGTCCACATTAGTAAAAAATGAACCCAGCCATATAAAATAACCAGAAACATGAAACAATACGAAATCACATTTTTTTAGTGAGTTATAGCAAAATACTAGGGCAAAGTAGAAGAGAAAAGACATACACAAGCCATATGGCCAGCCAGATTAAATACAAACTCTGTAGATACTTGTTTATTCCTTTCATTTAAAAAATGTAATCAGTATACAAAGGAGGCAAACTATTTTAATCTTTGTACAAAAATAGCACTTTTTAAAAGTGTTTCAGACATCATTACATAGGTAATTGGATTTTTTTTTTAAAAAAAGCATATACATTATTACAAGATAAAACAAACAAGTCTTTTACATAGAATAGACAAAATTATTTTATTGCCAGTGTTACAGGTTGGCTTAAGTGACTGCAGAGCTGTGCTATAAGCACCAGAAAAAAAACAAAAGTAATAATTAAAAAAAAATGCATCCACCTTAGATCACTTCTCACTTCCTGGGAAAAAATATAAAGGCAACCATGGAAGGGAATTACTATCTGTTGGAGATGATGTAAAAGCACATGCATTGTTTAATGGAATCTGAGCCGAAATTCCCTCCTGCCCAACCATCACCACAGAATATGTGAAAAGCAAGTGCTCATCCTTTTGCCAGTGGATTAAGAAAATTAAATTAATTACTGGACACTCGTGGACCATTTAAACTGGATTGTGACAAGATTTTAATATAGAAAAGTCTGGCTCAAGGCACAAAATGCTAGAGATCTCTTAAGGCTGATGGCATTGGCTTAACTATATACAATTCTTGTTTATAAAAGGAAAGGCACATTTTATTCCAAAACAGCATTGCAAGTAATTTGAAGATAATATAAAAATTAAACAAATTTTTACCATCTGGAAGAAGGAGGTTCCTTTTATGTACACATTTTATATTAAGGCCAGTTTGTATTAACAGCGGCTCAGTAAAGCTTTTCCAAGACTCAGCTTGCAACTACATGTTTAAACGATCCTCAATTAATATTCTTAGAATTGAGACACATTCACACATGCAGCATGCGTCCAATAAATGGCTTACCCTGCCCTCTCTCACTGGACAGTCATTTTCAAAATTCATGAAGCCCTTCCATCTGGGATGGGAAAGTATTCAGTAAGACAACAAACCTCACCCTAAAGAAATAGCCTCCAGAAAGGGATGCTCCTTTTATTTAAAAAAAACAAAACACAACTCAAGTCCACCAATAGTGCTGATCATACAAATAACTAAGCTTTGTTCTGAGCATATATACACACAGAAAAGGATGTTATTTTAGTTTGTGTGTGTGTGTGTGTGTGTCCCCTTTGTAAGCAGAGGCCATCTTTTGGAAGCAACAGACATTCTCAGCCCAGCAGTTAACCAAGGATCACGCTATCATTCTGACTGGGTCACAAGAACAGTCACTGCAAACAATGTTATAAAACAAAACTGAACAATGGAAAAATGGTGGCCCCAAATGGGGATGCCACTGCCGCTTAAAAGTGTGGACAACACTTTAAAAAAAAGAGAAAGGGGGGGGAGGGGAGAAACAGAAGGTAGGCCAGATCCTTCTGCACCAAAGACATTCCTACATGGCTGCCCATGTGGAGAGATCAAATTTCTCCAAGGGCACCATTTCAAATAGCACACATCTCTTATGCATTCAAAGCAGACGTAGTAAACAGTTGTGGTTACATTAAGACTTTAAAGATCTGAGTTCTTGTCTGCTGAGCTAAAACCAAATAATGCAACAAATCTCTTTTACGACAGAAGAAAAAACTAAGTGATGCTACAGTACTGGTGCCAATTCATGTCTCAGGACATTTAAAAACAACTAATCAGGAGTTTAAATGAAATGCAAAATTACAAATTTAATACAGTGCTATTGAAAGTGTCACAGGCTTACCAAAAAGGCAACCGAGGTGGTCTCAAGCCAATGATAATTTCCATTTCCACTTTTGATTCTGACTTTTTTTTTTTTTTTTGAGTTCCAGGAAAGGCACTTACTACATGTTCTTCTGTCAATTTTTCTGTAACTGCTATTATGTTCAGTGATAGTACATATAAGAGCCTATTTCAGACAATATTATTTACACATGAAATAAAAAAAAATGACCTGAGTTGAATATTTCTCTGCTTGGTTGAAAACCAAAACAGCATTTTTAGATCAGGGTGATGGCGGGAAGAGGGATACATACGTAAGGAATTCAATACTACTATGCAATATATAATCTTTGTAAAGACCACTTTCCGCAATACTCTGCTAAATATTTGGCATATACCATGCATAAACATTTACTTTGGACATTGCAGAAAATACGTTCAATTCTAGCAGAAACACAGAAAAAGCGTATGACCAAAAAAAAAGAGGCACAATAGTAATTGTCACCGGGTGCTGCAATGAGATATTGTTTACACTACTTAAGAGAAACAAATACTGCCATCTACCAAGGGACCTCAAATTCTGTATTATTCCCCAAACAGAATTCTTCCATGCACCCAGTTCATTTTTAAGATTTAGATTATTACAAATAAAAATGCTCACCCTCTCTCCTTATTTCTGCCCTTCGAAAGTAAAGAGATTTATAATAGCATCTTCCCTTCCCTTAAGGGTTCACGCTTCACAGATTTATTGGATTTCTATCACTAACCGGGAACCCTCCTTCTGGCTTCCTGACTTGTAGCAATAGCTGTAAACTAAATATTGCTCTTTAGAAAACAAACAGGAGGAGCTGAGAAGAGAGAGACTCATAAATCTGTGATGGGCAACCTGAGACACCAGACTCAGAAAGTCTGTTAAGACCACACAAAAAATAATAATCATTTACAGATGAAAGATGGATTCCTTCCACAAGTCACACTGAACTGAGTGAGAAAGCAATGCTCAAAATAACAAAAACTATCCAGTGCATTTTTTTAAAAAAAGGATGCTGTTTCCTCAGCTGCGAAAATGTGTAAATGTGAATAGATAGGCTTTTATACAGACCAGTGTAGCACTTGAGAAAATGCTAGTGGTAATTTTCTGTAGCAGAAGAAAAATGATTAGGTCATAGCAGCATTCCATTAACACCACATCTGCTAGGAAAACAGATACTTGATAATGGATGCTATTAACAAGCACGATCTGGCATTATAGGGAAGTTTAAAGGGGAAAAGAAACAACGATTCTTTCAGAAAGTGGGAACTATCTATCCTGCAATCCGACATATTGTGTAATGTCTTAAACTTGCCAAGGTTGGAGACTCCTGATCTAGAACATCAAGCTCCCTTCGCTATGGCAAATAATGCCTTTATCCAATTATTTCAGTAATGGTATTACAGTACTTGAAGACTCTGGAACATCCAACTCCAAGACCCTAAAATATTATCTTGTTTTTGAGTTGCACTGTGTTAGAAATACAATCTGCTTTACCTCTAATCTAACAGCAATATAAGATCACAAATCCCTACTTTCTGGACAAGGAAACTCTTTCTTCATAAAATGCTCGAGTTACATACTTACTCAGTCCTCCTGGTTGTACATTCCTTTATATTTGTTGTAGGTTTCTTATGTTTGCTGTATGTTTCTTACATTACTCGTATAAGTCTGCCCTTTACAATCCAATCCATCAAAATGAATAAAGAAATCATAGAGAAAAAGGGAAAAGGCTAAGCAAGGAGTGATCATTTCATCTCAGCCAATACAAATTGGGCAAAAGCAATTCACCAGTGCAAATAATTCACAACCACTATAGAAGTCAACGATTTACACCATGGCTTTTCTGTTTTTGATACGCTTTAAGATGCTTATGCTTTTTGGTCTTGTTTCCATCCTCTCTCAGCTCAACCAGCAGCATTTGTGAAACAAGAATATTCTTATTAAAAACTCACACAAGATCATGAAAGCGTTATCCAACTCCAGGTAAGGATCTGCAGATGCAAGCACCTGGACAATTTTGGGGACTGTTAATCTTAACTCGAATGTTGTCCTGAGGAAGGAAAAATGATGATCTTTTCTCCCTGTCCCTGATGAAAATGATGTTGTAATTCAGCTCTGCTAAACCACTGCAACATGCATACATACATATATAGATATAGATATATAAATCATATGATTCTGGTACACGGCTCCAGATGGAGGCAAGAGAGGAGGAGGGTCAACACAATAAAAGGAAAACAGAACAGGACATGGCAAGAGGGGCATCAAAATGTTACCAACACAACACTTTATAATGAAGGCAGAGGAAAAACAACAATAAACTGGCTTTTAAGCTACTGAGGAGTGAAGCGACGAGAGAAGTTCAGAGCAAAGCAACGGAAATAATGGCCAGCTATATAATACCCCAGCAACAATTCATGGACCCTTTGTGAACTTTCTGGGGCATAGAAATTCACCATGCACATGACCAGCACTGAAGTATGCAAGAGGCAGGAGCTTCATGAAGGCTATGTAACAATTAAAAAATTTCCCTCAATACTTAATAAAACAAAATCTGTCACGCTACCTGTGGAGCTGCTTGTTTTAAGTAGCAGAGGGAAAAGGACATAGGACTGATCAACCTGGTAAGGTACTGAACAATTTGTCTAAGTGGTTCACTCTAAACAGAAGAGATTTTAGGAACAAATCCTGAACTGTCTGAAGACTTCCTGGGGTGGAGGCGAGTGTCATAAGGCCCCGTTCCTTAACAGAGATTCCACAACTACTCTCAAGCATCACTTTTTCTCCCCATCACTTTTTTTAAAATCTCCTAAGCACTGGCTTTCTTCACTTATTTCTTTGGTATCTGAACTTCCACTTTAGTTCCCTTTGTTGCAATTTCCTTATAATTGTTCTCATAAGGGTGTATGTAACCTTGGAAAGGGAGCAAGCTGGCTAGCAAGCACTAAATTGCTAAAAAGAAGTTACAAATAGGAGATACAAAAGCCAATTCATAGTTTATTCTCAATGGAGTGCCCAGCACCTGAGCCAAATATTGGATCATTTGTCAATTTGGAAAGACCTGGGCAAGTCCCTTAGTGTTTCACAGCAATGCAGTATCTCAAGCTAAAAGAACCCAGACTTCTTTTTTTCCCCTTTAACTACATGGCCATAACATTTGTCAAGATCTTAAACAAAGCACAACAGAGTCCAATACTATAGTTCCAACTTGCACTGTAGTAAAATGGCTTGAGTTGAGCCAAAACACATATAGAGACCTCTCCAGCACTCCTGGTGTTCAGTTCCCCTGGATTGTATGCATGCACAAATATTTTTAAACAAAGAGGATTCACTGCTTTACACTGGGAACTGGAAAGAATCCCCCTTAGGCTAAAAGTTGAATTCATGCATTTGGAAGGCAAGGAACGTAAATTGTGTGTCACGTTTTCATCTTTCCTAAGGCTCATTTTCCCTTGCAAGTTCAGAACGCACAGTGGGTCATGGACCCTACCACTTTGGGTAGAAAAAAAGGCGACAGGGACTTAAATAGACACTCCTTTCTCCAAATAGAGAAAAGTGGAAATTATCAGGAAGTAACTTTTTTTTTTGTATGAGAGTCTAATCAAGTAAGGAACAGAACATTGGGGAAGGGGGGGGGGGAGACAAAAGTTAAGCATAAGAAAAGCTAAATTTATATTTTTATAGTTACAATTAAAATGCAATATAGCATCTGAACATAAGCCTGAGCGCCGTTTAACAGCTCAATAAGTTCCAAGTTAAGGCATCTGAACTACAACCAAAGACTTTGGTTGCAGCACTTTTTAATCTCTTTCATCCAAAAAAACATATTTTATAATTTTATATAATTACAATAATAACAATAATAATATAGATTTTTTTCTGCTAAAAAGTATTTCAATGATCATATACATTTAGAACCAAGGCATGATGGCATTGGGGTACCTAATAAAGGTGAAGAGACCTAATGGGGGAGGGGAAGAAAAAGCAAAATAAAAATTAATTAATCAGTTCTGGGCCATTCCCATTTCCCAAGTATTCATTCTAGGCATCACCAGGCTGACCTATACAGCAAGCAGACCTTATTCTGCACACAATATTCCTGGGAGACAGAAATAGTATCTGAAAGCTATATGTGGCAGCGGAGTCCCCATCTTCCGTCACACTTCTGTCGTGAAAGGCATCTCTTGGATCTTGAGACTCTCACGTTTGTACAAGATCAGACAGATCCTCAGAATCCATTGCCACTGATGTTGATCGACTGGAGATCAGCCACTTGCATGACATTGATGCCACTGCTTGCAAGGCGTGCAATGCCTTCTGGGCAGATGGCTTCCATGGCCACCATGTTGGTTGCAATGAGGGCTGAAGGTGTTGCCCCACCGGTGCTCTCGGTAGAAGCATTCGCATCAATGGCGACTGCAGAGACGTCCATAGCCACGCTGTTGGGAGCGCCTGCCTTCTTGTTTTGGTGGGTCTTGATGTGCTTGGAAAGATGGTCGCTCCTCATGAAGCGCTTGGGACACTCAGGGCAGGCAAATTTTTTCTCTCCTGAAGGAAGAAAACATTCATGAAGCCATTCACTCATTTCATTCTTAAAACATAGTCCAACATCTTCCCATCAGCAACTGTGTCTTGTTTTTAGGCAATCAGCAAAAAGTGTATCAAGCCAGCCAGAGTTGGCTATCATTCACCTCCAGTTTAAGGTTACCGAAATCGGCATATGCAGGACCCTAACTTAGCAGAAAATACCTACAAAGGGTAAACTCAATGACACCGATTTTAGCTCTATTTCTTTCTCAGAGGTGTACAAACTTTATTATTTTATACAGCCTTATTTATATCAAGAGAAGCTTTTATCTACATGAGCCCTTTTTAAAGATCTTTAGGGTAATCTACATAAAATAATAATAATGCCTAATGTGGGAGCCTATTTTGTTGTGCTTTCTTTTTGTAGACTTCCTCAGTCATCAGTCTTATGCTGTCCAGATATACCAGTCATATCCCTACAATCACTTGCTTTTCCCCATTCTATGAAGGTATTTCAGCTTTGTTACCGTCAACAAATATTAGACATCCAAATAAGTTTTTACAAAGTAGGCCTCTAAAAAGGAGACATTTTAAATGCCATGTCTTTGCATAGTTTTATTTTATTTATTTAGTCATTAAATTTATATGTTGCCCATCTCACACTGCAAAATGACTCTGGGTGGCTTACAATAAAAGTCATAAATATTATAATATAAACAACAGTATATACAAAATTAAAAACCAATTCTTAAATTTCATTTTGGAAAAAGGTCCAGTTTTATTATTGATAATGTTGGGCATTATTTACCCATTCATATGGCTCTTTATGCCCTGATCCTCATTTTTCAATTCAAGGCTCATTTACAAGCCCTTAAAGCAGTGATCCCCAACCTTTTTGACGCCGCGGCCCGGTACCGGCATCAGCTGGGCGCCGCGGCCCGGTACCGGCATCAGCTGGGCGCTGCCATCTTTTTTTGATGAAAACGTGCTTCCGGTGAGCTTTCTACCCGGAAAAGCTCACCGGAAGCACTTTTTCATGAAAAAAAAGATGGCGGCGCCCAGCAAGCCGCGGCCCGGTAGGAGTTGTTCCGCGGACCGGTACCGGTCCGCGGACCGGTGGTTGGGGACCCCTGCCTTAAAGCAAAAAGCAAATTAAGTAATATTTCTGTTTTGTAATCACACATATATGTTTGCCTGCTGTGTTATTTTGTTTACTTTCTATTTAACACTTTTAAATTCTCTGTTTATATTCATTTACAATTACAGTTGAGTTGTTTTGAGTAACGCAGATACATTCCGGAAACATTATTTTCAAAGCACTTTCTGTCTCCACATCCCCCCTGCATTTTTATAGCAATGTTATTTCATTTTTAAAACTTCGAAGGCAAGGAGGTCTTTGTTCCAAAATACCACTGCAATTTTTTAAAGCAGCAATGTAACTGTAGACAAGCCTTGACATTATACCCATGAAAAACTTTACGAAGTGCTTGGGAGCACTTTTACATGCGGTAAACCAGGCAGGGATGTGTCACACGCTTTACTTAAATCTTCAAATTAGTTCTGAATGACTTAAGATGTCACTCGACTTATGTAGCTGTGTTAACAAAGAAGACCCCAATACAAAACTCTTTCGAAACCTCTCCTTCACCTCAAGCTACACATAGCACTTTTGTTGCTCAGGCCCAGGAATTCCTTGCACTTACCAGTGTGTGTTCGCTTGTGTCGTTGTAGCTCATCACTGCGTGTGAAACGCTTGCCACAATACGTCCATGAGCAAACAAATGGCCGTTCACCAGTATGCCATCGAAGGTGAGCTCGCAGATGAGATGTCTTCCCGTACACTTTCCCACAGCCTGGGATGTGGCAGATGTGCTGCTTCTTTTTGCCAGGGTCCCCAGAGCCTCTGAAAACGGTGATGTATATTAAGAATTAATCAGATGAACTGGCTGGTTTACCATTTGTTTTGCCCCGTGACAAAAAAATAGAAAAACTACTGTCGCATAGAATTATCCATCATCTTCCTGGGTGGTTGCCATGAACACTAGAATTGAAGTCACAGTCTTCCACTAAAATCTAGTACTAATCACAAACTCTCCAATAATATAATGGGGGTAAACTGGGTGGAGGTTACTTTTTAATTAAGTGACCAAAACCATCCCAAATTTTCCCAAGTCTTTTGCACAAGGAAGACACTTTGTCAAGACACACTGGACAATCTTTAAATCACATATTATTGTCTTCGCATTGTTTGTTCTCCCATACTTTGAAAACTTCTATGCATTACATATCCCAATAGCAGCTATTTGCACCTGCTAGAAAAGTACAGAAAAGCAAGGTGCAACTCTTTTCAGAAAGATAATGCTCTGCTAAGACAGAGAAAGAGAGAGCGGTGTATGCTTGCACACACTTGGTAGCTACTAAGCATGGAGCAAAGTAAATACTGAACCAATTGTTACAAGTTTCTAGACGTAATCTTTTCCCACAATCTATACAACACAGGAATTATTTAATGTTCCGTGTTTACGGATCTTATATAGGTAGCCCTCGACTTACGAGCATAATTGAGCCCAAAATTTCTGTTGCTAAAATTCACATTTATTGAAGTGAATTTTGTCACATTTTACAACCTTTCTTGCCACAGTTGTTAAGTGAATCGCTGCACTTGTTAAATCAGTAACATGCCTATTAAGTGAATTTGGCTTCATTTGGCTTTGCTCATGAGAAGATTGCAAAAGCTGATCACATGACCCCCGGGGCACCGCAACAGTTCTTCCAAGTGTGAAAAATGGTCACTTTTTCAATGAAGTTGTAATTTTGAATGGTTACTAAATGAACTGTTGTAAGTCAAGGACTATCTGTATGTTGTAAACCACTTTGAGGCTACCCTAATCAGCTGTCTATTAACACTACAAGCAAGCAAATAGTGCCACTTTGTCAAAAAAATGTATTTTTGTGAATCTTTTTTCCTCGCAGGTCAATAGACACAGGAGAGCTGAACTCCATACATGTTGAGGTTTTTGACTTAAAAGTTTGTGTCCCCAACAGAACATGCTTCCCAAACTGGAAATTCTACTTCTAAAGCAGGGGTGTCCAACCTTGGCAACTTTAAGACTTGTGGACTTCAACTCCCAGAATTCCTCAGCCAGCTTTGCTGGCTGAGGAATTCTGAGAGTTGAAGTCCACAAGTCTTAAAGTTGCCAAGGTTGGACACCCCTGGTCTAATCTAAAGCACTAAACCAGGGGTATCAAACTCGATTTCATTGAGGGCCACATCAGGGTTGTGTTTGACTTTTGGTGGGCCAGGCTTGACCTCGCTTGTATCGGGGAGCGTCTGTGGTGGCCCGAGCACTCTGTCAGTGAAAACAGGCTCATGAGCTCCGTTTTTGGCTGTGATAGTCTCCCGCTGCCCTCTGCCAGCGAAAATGGAGCTTGGGGGGGGGGAGAGGCATCGCAGGTCGGTCCTTTGCTGTTTCCAGGGTGACTCTGCAGGCCAGATCTAAGCACTCTGCAGGCTGGATTTGGCCCGTGGGCCTTGAGTTTAAACCCCTGCAAGAGTCTGTGATAATCCCTTCCTGTATTTATTGAACTTTGCACCAGAATCCACTCAAAATGTACCGCCAGTTTTCCTTGCATAAGCTTACCTGCCATCGTTGTCTTTGCAATAAGGGCAGGTGCAGGCTTCTCTGCGCATTCTTCGGACTTGCTGTGGCTGGGCATCTGGACTACCTTCCCCTTCTTCCAGAGTGGTTCCATCATCAGCCAGCCCATCACCAGCAGTACTATGGAGGCTAAGGTGGGTATTATGATCACCTGTAGAAGAAACTGGGATTTTTACTATCTCAAAAGCCAAAAGATCATCTTTCACCAAATCAGTGATATTTAAGAGCATATATAATTTCACTACCTGAAAGCCAAAATAAAGAATGAATATATCCAAACATAAGAATATGAATATATATAAAAATATATAAAAATAATATCTATCTATCTATCTATCTATCTATCTATCTATCTATCTATCTATCTATCTATCTATCTATCTATCTATCTCAACTATATTATCATTTGTACAGAAGTTGTTCTAAGTGTTATTCCCAATTTTCCTTTCACTTCCTTTCTGACTTTTTCCTAGTTTATTTTACATTTTAACTGTTAAAAAGAATGTCTTAGAATTCTCTGTATGACACGTTTACAAGCAGACAAAAGTAAAGAACACAGCCATACTTTGGGGTAAATGCTTGTGTATAATTGTTTAATTAAATTATTCTCAGTGTCTAGTGTCATGTATGAAATTAGGATTCTTAGCATTGTATTACACAGATTGCATCCTGATGCCATCATCGGCCTTATGCACACCACAGGCTTGCATACTTCATTCTTGTCTTTGCACTTCAAATGTTTGAGTAAGCACGACTCAGTTTAATGATAATACATAAAATGATAAAAGCTCAGTCTAAACACTGAAGAAGCTACTTGGATAGAAAGTAAAATATTTCAAACCAAAAAGAAAAGAAGTCTTAAAATGTAAGAAAGGGAAATAAGTCAAAGTCTTTTGAAACAAGAAACTTATTTATTAAATTTAGAACCACCCATCTTTATTGTCCAAGTGAATCTGGACAGTTTGAAGTTTACAGATACAAACTTCTTAAATCATGCTTTGAAAGTGGCTTATTCACAAACTAATCAACTTTTAAATTAACCACACTTTTATAACCAGATTTTGGAGGGAAGATGGTAGACAGGAAGCAACAGCTGTAAAGAGTTCTTCCAAAAGTAAACAAGTTTTTTTTAATTGTATTTTTAACTCACTTTTAACCCATTTTTAATCCATACCTGACTTTTTACAAAAGCGCATATAGAGAAGCTATCAATTTGTTTTAGCTACAGTTTAACAATACTACAATTCAGGATTTTTAAGAACGGGGAAAAGGAGAAAGAGACAGCGTATGCAGTCTGAAGCACAGAGTTCACTCAAACCATTGAACATGGGAGATTATAATGCAAAAAGACAGTCTGCTCCAATAAGTAACTCATCTGCAGTCTCCTTACCAGATAGATCTAATTTATGTGACTCACTGGAATGCAACTTACAAACTGAACTTGAAAGCAAACAGCATATAGAATTAACCACACTTCCTCAGATTTGAATGACATTATGAATTACAATTAATATTCCAAAACTTCTCACAACTAGATATGATGGGGGTTTCTACAATCCCAATAGTTGTACAGAGCTACTGGGGTATAACCAAGGAATAGAATCTCTTCTTTGGCTTCCAGGAGAAGTAGACATTTGGGTTGTTTTTAGTATTTTGGAATTTTTAGGGGTAAAATTTGTGGCTTAATACTTGGATATACGTAATCTGCTCTTAAAATCTCAGAATTCTCCCTCCAAATGATCCAATTCCTTTCCACTTTTGAAACATGGCCACAGTGGTGCCATGCAGAGGCAGCTATGCCCTTTGGATGACAGAAGCCAGCCAATATCTTTGTCTTTTACAAAGTCTGCATGCAGACATTGCAATAGACAAAGATATCCATTATTAATAATCTGAAATGTATTTCAGCATTTACAAAATGTCAAACGTTTGATTCTTGCTGTGAGTTTCTGAAACCTTTTTCTGTTATATATGCATGTATGTATGCATGTCATATTGTTGGAGTTTATTTTGGAACTTGGAAAATGCTAGGCTTAGCAAAAATCATTTTTAAGCTGGAAATGATAGCAGCAAAAACCAAGAAAGCTAATCTGCAAAGCAGATATGAACTAACCCAATGACAAAGGGAGGACGGGGAATAGTGCAGCAATACTTCTCCTAAGAAAGAGGTCCAGAGGATTTTTTTTGAAGCCTGTTAGCTGGCTTATTACGGTGATTTCAGAAAGGATATAAACTTGAGAAATCATCTGTTAACTTCTGCCACCACATTCTCTCTTCTTCCTTCCTGAAAGCTAATATCCAATTTCAAAAACTATGGAAATTATAGCTCAGTGCTTATGAGTGGTCCACTGCAAGATATAAAGCACTTCTTAAAGGGAGGGGAGCCCAGGAAGAATGGCAAGCTCTGAAGCCTGTGAATTTTTCTTCCCATTTTATTGGCCTAGGCTCAGGCTGTCATCTAATTGCTTTTTCTATAACTCCCACTTCACCTTCCCAAATTAGTTTATTCTCCTACAAGTTTCATTGCTTGATTATTTTCTTGCATGGGGGAAAAACCTGGCACATACTGTTACAGATGTAAAACTCAGCAAGCCAAGCAATCTGTTTTTTGAGGAAATTGGCATATGCCAAGTACATTTCAATTGAGCCAAGGGTTATGAACCGTCTTCAAGAGTGCTTCATAGCTCAGGCAATGTGGTTTCTATGTAAAAGAAAAAATTGTCCTTAAAGCCAATGCTGCCATGAAGATTGCACACATTCTATGCATGCCAGTGCTCAAAATACAAGATAAACACAGAATATTCTTTAATAGGTGAGGAATTCACAAAATATGTTAGTGACAAGGAACTAAAGATTGTATTCATTGTAAGGCTTGACCCCACATAAAGCTTTTTATACTGTTGACAATATCTCATGTAATTTATTTAGAGTGACACCCACACAGGAAAGGCTAACCTATGATGATGCCAATTGCAAAAGAGATGGCCAAGGTGTGGTTTAAATTGATGACTTTACTTCCAATTGATGCTTTCTGTTGCCATACTAAACCAGCATTTAGTATAACAGGAAAACTCCAAATCACAACATTGGAAATAAAGTCTTTAAAAGCTTCACAGTCAACTGTTTGCCTCAAGGAGAGAGGGAACATACAATACCTGCACTCCCCATCTCTTCCTAAAGGAGAATTTAGATAAATCAAAAGCTTATCCTATTGTAAAGGAATAATTTTTGCTTCATTATAGCTTTGCTAAATAAACTTTGCCTCCTTGATAACAACTATGAACTTTGTATCAACAATTTAAATAAGAAACTCCTGATGCTAAACAAGCACTACAACTATATAAATTCAAACATGAATTGTAAAGTATATAAAATTTCAACTTTTATTCTAGTGATTCAGTTCTCCAGAGAAAGCTTCAGTTTTAAGCGAAACTTATAAAGAGCAAGACAGACTGTGATCTTTTTGTGCCAGATTCATAGAAATGATAAGTTTCGTGATTTTTGTGCCCAAGTGCTATTGATTTTTGACCAAATAATAGGAACAAAATCCTAGCAGCTGTCATATTTACAGATTTAATATCATGTTCACAGATACTGAAGTTTCACCTTTCTGGCCACTCTATTTTAATTTGAGACAAAAGAGACCAAATGTAAACTCAAACTAAAGATACAATTATGGGCAATATTACTGAAGTCCTACACATCCAAAATGCTTAATCTTGGTTCTGAACAAGCCATCCATTCCGAGAAGCCAAACGTAACCAAAAGGAGTAATCTAGTTCACACAGTGACATCATGCAATTTTAATTGCCTTCCCATGGGATGGAGATATCAGTCTCCAAACGAATTTCATTTCTTTTCCCAAATAGCAGAGTAAAATGGAAATAAGATGATGGACTGGATTATATTACTTCAAATGGGAAGTAAAGCAATCTATACTATTATATTATATTAACATAACCGAAATAGCTTTACAATCCCCCAAGGCACATCGCAACTTTTGAGCACCCCCCTAATGTTTGCAAATTGAAAGTTGAAAAATTTGACGCACCAGGCTAAAGAGGCACAGCATTAACCAGAAGGTAAAACAAATGCTTCAGACAGCTTTGGAAGGTAGTAAGCTTGAGCAGGTGGGACCTGATTCAGATAATGAGAGGATAGATTCTGGCAGGGCACCTAGCCCAAGAATATACCACTGGAGCAAAGGTAAACAGCACACCTGCTATGCCAGCACCTTGGGTTATATAAGAACAGCCTGGGTCCCTTATAAATCTCTAATTCTGGACCCAAGTTCCTCTCACTCTTGGCCCTTGCCTTGCACTCAGAACCTCAGTTTGATATTCAGACCAGCTAGTATAATTCTCTGGTGCCAAGACCTTGGGCTATCATGGATAATGCTTGCAGATATTTTAATATTTGTGCTATTCTCTAAGGAGCTCAGAGAAGGCAAACGTATGAATTCTAATAATAAATATAGGAATTGTCTTTATAAAAGGAGTAAGGTCTTTGGCTAAAACCATTAAGTAAGCAAATCGATTCTAGGGTATGTCACCTGCATGCTTTGTTCAGTTTAATAGCACTGCTCACTTGCAGCATTCATTGCAGGTTGTGGAAAAGGGAAATAGACAACAATTATATAGTCTGATTTTGACAAATTCAACTAGTCAGCAGGGAGAGGGATGCAACCTCGACCCATTAGGGTGAACATGGCATGATATGTGAAAGTGCAAAACTAGTCATGCAGATTCATGTTCATCCTACGAGACACAAGCAGATCTTGAAGCAGCCCTCAAATGGCTTAGCTCAAATTCCCATCTGTTCAGTTGTTTGCTTAAATACATAAATGCTATCAATTTTTCTTTGAAAGGAGTGGCAGTAGGTATTCTGCCACTGAGACATCTTTGTTTTCAAACACAAATATGGTTGACTTGGTACAGGAATGCAATCTTTTGATTTAGTTACTGAGCATTTTACCTATGTGAAGGACTAGGTTTAGTTTTCAAGTTCTGTATTATGATATATAGCTCAGGTACAGATCTTGTGTTGTTTCTTTACAGCAAGTTTATCTTAAAAAACCTGTTTACCTTAATTTCCTTGCAGATAAAGTTGAGATGTTACTAAGAAGTAACCTATATTGCTAATACCAGCATT